GCTCGGATCCGTCCCACTTCATCTCATCGTCCAAATTAGCTGAGCCGCTTGTACCAACCACCCAATGGTGATGTTTCTGGAGAACTGGTGGATTGGGACTTTTTTGGCTTTTATGTAGGCTTCGTTGAACGTCTATGCAAATTCTAAGGAATTTTTATGCATTTTGCATAAGTCAGCCACAAGTGAGATTAAAACGAGAAATAAAGAATTTCATCTTAAATTGCCAGGAATGTCTCATCCCTAGCAAGTTCCGGAAAGAATTAGCTAATCCATAAAGTTGTCCCATACCACTGTTAGGCAAATTTCGAAATTTGATATTTTATTGTTTTTTGCAGGAGCACCAGTACTTGGTTGTGCGAAACCAAGCTGTGTTGCTAGTCCGGAAGATAAAGATGATAGCAACTTTCTGGTGAATGCGGACGGACAGACTGATGGATTTTTGCGTGATGGGGACAAGGAAGCCAAGAGAAGCGACGATCTCTACGCTAACAAACTTATTGCCGTAAATTTCGAGAAATTTGCAGAGGCCGATTAAAAACCGGTTTTGTCCGACATGATAGAAATGAATAATTTTATTCAGGATCAAACAGCACCATTGGATTTTACAATCGGATTTTTTTTGTGAGGGGGAGAAACTTTTGAGAAATTTTGTATCACAGAAAGTTTTCGGCTAACACAATGGAAAAATAAACTTTCATTCAATCAGTAAAATATTTCGCTTATTCAGTGATACGGCTGATAGCAATTACAACGAAGTGGTAGTGTGGATCTGATGATCCTGAAATCAGTAAGCTAGACTTATTTCAGCAGCACCAATTAATGTATGATTTCTGAAAAAGTAAGACCTCTTCATCATTTCATTTAGACACTGTACACAATAATAACTTATCCCCAGATGTGGTACTGACAAGATCCAGTTATGGCGCTGAGCTAAGACAGATATAACTTGATGGACTGAAACACCTTAATCTCAGCTGCTTAAATACGACAGATTTCATTCTCATATATTTCTAATACAACTCACTATTAGCTATTTAGTTCTTAAACAGCATTTATAATTCTGCTCAAATCTAATAAGTTACTTAGCATCTCTTATCGAGGGATACTCTTAAAGTTTCGATATTTATTTCAGAACTGTTCGGGTAAATTTGCTGATTTAACATGCCCTCGTAAGGATCAATGGGTCGGCGGTATTGAATACATCGATCATCCCAGACAACCGTTAGTACTTCACTTCTTAAAAACTTCATTTGTTGTTCACTTACTAAAAACTATTAAAAGCACATCCAAACAATAGGTGTGGAGATTCAGAGTTGGTAATTGCTCATGCTGTAAGCAAATAACGCCTTTCTGACATCTGCCAGTGTCAATTTATCATCGAAACGAATGAAAGAAACATGAAGAGATTATTTACGCCAGCGGCAGAATCGAGCTTTTGAGCTTCAGCAAGACGGCAGTGTTACTTGCCTTTATATCGCATTACTGTCTTTGCAAACATATGCAGGAATATAAACTAAATGAAAGAAGTGAGGAAAAACAATGATGAGGCAACGAAGAAAAGGAAGGCGGTCTGAGAACAAGGAGCTAGAACGCTTCGGTATATAGCTCCACAAATCTTAACACAGCGTCACAACTGGACCTTATTAGTATAGCGATTTCGATGCTAATTTAAAAATGGAATAAGGAGGAAAAGAATGGTGGAAAGGGAAGGGAAGGGCTAGGGATGTGCTGGAAAAAAGGAGAAAGGATTACAAATATTTTGTCAAATGCATTCGCACATTAAGCTGTGAGCAATTACATTCTTTTGAAATACTCTAGTAAACTGTGAAAAATGATTATTTTTAATTGAGGTTGATTCTGCAATGTTGCACTTTTGCCGGATTACGATTCTCGCAAGAA